AAGACACAACCTACCTCATTGAAATCTTGGTTCAAAAGAAAGAAATGGCAGAAGGAACATTAGAAAGGCGGGAAATTCTGAGCTTCCGATTGGTTATTCATGTCGTATATAGAAGTTAGAATATAAGGGAGCATTTCCAAAAATGGAAAGAGGTGTGCGGGGTGTCACTGTGTTTCATTTATTATGTGAGCAATATCTTAGCAAATAGAAAAGATAAGACCTTATTTTATATTCTAGCTTGTCAATATCTGTAATTTGAGTTTCTAATTCGTATTAAACTATAGACTTAGTATTTGGACTTCACAAATATCTAATTTGAACCAGTGCTGCATTCAACATACCACATGATGCACAAAAATCGATGTTTATTTGTGTTTTTGTTTTTATTTACTTTTAAATTAAGAAATTGAGTAATGTATAGTTCTATAATTTGAATTATAATCTACAGTTTGATAACAAACTTATTGACATAAATTCATGAATTAGTAGTTCAATAAAATTTTGAACGCGAGTCAACAAACGAGATGACATGGCCTTTCACCTGTGATCCGTATCGAAAGGGTTAAGTTTGGAGACAGCTTGACTGGATAATGAAGAAAACTTTATTATAAATGTATGATGTTTCAACAATATTATGTCATCCTCAGGTACAAGCAGTTTACAGGCACATGAATATATATATATATATACACTATGGAATAAAAATGTCACATGACTGGAGATTGCTTCACAGTCTAGTATAGGTATCTTGGTACCCTGAGGTGTTGGGTTAGGATAGGGCTGTTTTATTCATTTAAAATAGCTTCCTTTATTCTGTGTTTAGTATTCAATGTGTGTCATGTTTCAAGTGTTGTGAATAGCAAACAAATGTAACTGCAGTGTGATAAAATTAAAAAAATATATAAATGGTTAAATTGCTAAAAAGATAAATATGTGATCAGAATTTTGGTTAAAGGATCTTCAGCATTTTATTTATTTATTTGTTATTTTTATGTTAGTAATTGTACTAAAGATTGTTACATTCATTATCATCATAGATTTGCTGAAAGTGGAATTTGTGTAATTCCGAAACGTTCATTAAAGATGTTTAGCAATTGTTGGCATGGCGCTACTATCCAGTATCAGACTTCGTTTTCTGATGTGTGGTTTTCAATATGTGATGATACTGTTGACTTTTCTTCATGTTTTTTTTCTTTATTTTTTCTAGGTATAGCTCCAACTGCAGTAGGTGTTCAGAAAACTGAAGGAAATCATCAAAATATTCCCGTAGTTCCACCAAAGAAGAAAGTGTTCATTGTGAAAAAAATGGGTATTCAACAAAAAAATATACAGGGCAAGGTTTGTATACAAAATAAATATTGCACATTATATGATAAAATTGTTTTTCTTTGGTTAATATAGCCAAATGTTGCTATGTCAAATAATAATGGTGTAATATTTCACTGAAATCTGTTCTAAGCAAGTAACATGCCAGCTTCTTCAATGCCTTTTCTTCTTTAGTACAGTAACTGACACTGTGCTTATTACATAAGAATATTTATGTACAACCTTTTTACCAACAGTATAAAAAACGTTTTATTGATTGGTATCTAATTACAATGAATAAATTAATATTAGCTAAGCCTTTCCTACTGTCTTTGTTGAAAGCATAACTATTTCCTAATCATTCCTAATATTGGGCAAAAGGGCTCATCGTGTCTGGATATAACGTGTATGGTAGTTGACTAATTATTATACACTCTTCTTTACTATCACTCATAGGTCTTATTATTAATACCTCTAAGATTCTTTGTTTGGGTTAGTAGCATCTGTTACACAATGTTAATGAAGTTTGCTATTATTGCTAGATGAAGTTTTTATGGTTTTATTGATTTCATCCGACTAATGGACTGGGCGTTACTAAGCTGGAAAATCTGTCATGAATACAACGTTTTCATGGATATCAAATTAGAAAACTAGTGCTTCGTATGGTTGTTTTTCATTTAGGATTAAACTGTACAACATTTTTACTTATTTCAGAATATAGTCGGGATATTATAATGTGATAGTCAATCACACTATTTGTTAGTAAAGAGTATGTAGCCCAAGAGTTGGTGGTGGGTGCTGCTGGCTGGTTGTCCTCCTTGTGGTTGGCAGGTCAAAATTAGAGACAGTGAAAAATAGCCTTTAATGGTGTCTTTGCCGAAAAAGCAAATGGAATATTTTGAAACTTTAATTTACAATAAATCAAAATATAATCAAACTAAATTTTTTTTGCTACTATTATTATTATTATTATCTATTTTTCCAAAGAAAATGATAACCTGTTTTTAATGCAGCTTTAGTTGTAGTTTACTTCATACATTAGAATCACATGGTATAATTCTAAAGCTGCCATTTAAAATGTTATCAAGCATTTATAGGAATGTATCTTGCTAAAAAGATATAACATTAGTTAGCACATATATTTTGTGTAACACATAGCACATACTTGAAAAATAGCCCATGTTTAAAAGCACTGTCCTAAAATTATGGTAATGTTTGATAATGAGACTTTTAAGGATAACTGGAGTGGGTTAGTTAAGAAACAACAGATCCATTATATATATTCTTCTTCTTCTTATTATTATTTTGCAGTTTGCAAATATTCAGCAAAATCAAATGGGAAAACCAGTAAAGGTCCTTCGTAAGGATGGTAGTACAATTTTCTATCGTAAAACTCTGAACCAAGGCCAGCCAGGTGTAGCCAGTCAAAAAGTGTCAAACATTCAGGCCACTCCAAGACAAGTTAATCAAGTGTTTAAAAATGTCCAGAGGTCAGGTGGAATGAGGACTGGTCCTGTCAGCTCTCAAATGTTAGCTGTAGAAGAAGAATTACAGAAGCAAGCATTTACTCGATTACAGGTTCAGAGACAAGATCAGCAGAGAGGTGGTTATCATCAGCAACAGGGTCAAAACAGAGGAGGTTTTTATCAACCACAAACCCATCAAAGAGGAAAGTTTCAACAGCATCTTGGTCAAAAACAGGCTACTTTTCAACAGGTTTTAACAGGCGAACAAAGAGGAAGTCTTTATCAACGACCAGGTCAAAAGAGGGGAGGTTTTCAGCAGAGATTAGGGCAACAGAGAGGAGGTATCCAACAGCGACTGGGTCAACAAAAAGGAACTCTTGAACAACCAAAACAGTTGAATCAGCAGAATGTTCAGAAGCAAAATGCTGAACAGCAGGAGCTAAAGTCAGTGATTCCTGAAGGGGCAGAAACCAAAACAACTAACCAACCAAACAGAAAAATAATTCAGCTGAAAAAGTCTAAGTTCTCTCAACAAGATGCTCAGGAGGGTAGGAAAATAGTATTATCAGCACCAAATAAACTTCAGCAACAAAGTCAAAGGCCTCTGTTGGCTCAGAAAGCAACTGAACAAACCAGTGATGTTGCAACTAGGCTTGATCTTCAACAACGAAGTCAGAGATTAGTATTGGCCCAAAAATCAATTCAGCAAGCTAATGTCTCTGGAAGTGTGCAGCAGCCAGCTCGTGTTGTTAGGATGGGCCCATCAAATCAGGTGAGATTAAATTTGTTTTACTCTGTGTAGCAATTCTTTACTTACACATATTGAGAGATTCTTAATTCAGTGTTTAATAGCAGATACTTTGTACATTTTTCTTTTTCAGATAATGGCATAACTTGCATGAACTGTAAGAATATATAAAATCACTTTGTCATCATAACATAAAGTGGCTTCACCTACTTTGTATTAAGAAACCAATTTTGAATTACAACATTCTGAAAACTAGCATTTTGTGTTACAAATGTTTTGATTTGAGTAAGGAGTTATAGTATAAATTATGCTGGGTGATTATAAAGAAAGCTCCATTATTTAAAATGATGATATAAAAACAGGAACAAGATATCATCAGATATGCATTTAAAATCATAGGTTTTATTCACAAGAGGTTTATCATGATGCAGAGGGTTTAAAAAACTGTATTATATTGTATAACTAAATCTTTCTTATTTCTCTCTCTCTCTCTTTCATCAATACAAGATAGGTGATTTGAATTAAATATTTGTTAGTGTGTGGAATATTGTGAGGATCAGTCAACAATGTTCAGAACAAATGGTTATTGCTTTCTTCAGCAACTTACTTTAGGAATAGTTTTGACATGTTGATTGAAAATGGTGGAAAGCATATTGAAAACCTTCTGAGAGTTTTTTAAGCATATTGTTACTTGTCCAAACTCTTCTTACTAATACTTCTGATTGGCAGTGTACCTCTGGTGAAATTTAATTTGCCAAGTAGTATCAAGATATTATTATTTGAAATATAGGCTTTTATGTATAATTACCATGAACTTCAGGAATTTTCAGATAGTTATTGTATTTACATTTTTCTCTATCTGAGTGCTTTCATGGATTGATTAAAGTTCCTGAGAACCAGTAATCAAAATAATATAAGAATTGGGTCTGAATGAATGGCTTATACAGAAGATTGTATCTGATACCATATGATGCATCTATTAAATTCATTAGATGACACTGATGATCATTTTAAAAGCTGTTAGATATATTTGTCTCAAAATTTTAAGACATGAATTTTAAAAAATAACTTTTATCACATTTGTATTGAAAGGATCATTTTCTCATAGCTTTCTCCTCCACCAGATATTAAAATATTTTTTCTACTAGGTCATAAACAGGTCTTCAGAATGTAATTGATATGCTATTCTGTCAAAGTAGAAACAGATTTATCATTTATTATGGTGAACAAAAATGTGTTGATATGATAACAAAAATAAGAAGAAAAAAAGGATGTACTTTTCAATTTAGGATAGTATAATTATGATCCTCTCTGATCCAGTAGAAGTATGGTTTGTAACAAAGATTTTAAATTTACTTATAGTAAATAGATGTCTACTGAATGTGGTTCTGGAGAATCCTGAAGGGTGTTTTTTTTTCATTAATTAAATAAGTTTCTGATTTTCATGTGATATATCAAATCTTCTTTTCATTTGGTTTTAACAAGTGTTTCTCTCCTTATTTCCCCACAGAGAACTGTTGTGGCTCCTAAAACACAGTGTGTGTTAGTGGAAAACCTGGCTGTTTCAACCACAGAGAACAGTCTTCGAGACTTGTGTAAATCTGTGGGTCCTGTGGAGGTTAGTGAAATTTTTTTATTTTTCTGCTTATATATGTTTTTTTATGCATACAAATGGTTACTCTGTGGAGACTTCAAAGATAATTAAACATTCTAGAGATTGTCAGTATACAAGGGATGAAATCATGTACATGCACTTTTTTAAAATCTTTTTTTAAAGATATATCTTCCAAAGATAATAAGGATAAAATATTCCTTCAGACTCATGCACTGTAATTTTCAGTTGAACAAAACTGAAACTTTAATAAATTTAAGAATTTCATTTTTGGATATTTTTTACTGAATAAAATAAAAATGGAAAAATTGAATTATGGAGAAGAGTAATTTTTTAATTATCAAGTGATATAGAAGTATTTAATTTGAGGCAGAAAAATTTTCTGTACTTAAGCTGTTTTCATAAATAACCAGTTGTTTTACATCAGTTCAGGCAGTATGACACAAAGCAAATTATTGATTACTGTATCTCTAAATATATTTATACATTCCCAGTACCTAGGGACTGCTCATGCATGCATTGCAGTATGTTGTTTTTGACTCTCTTGTCCATGAAAAGAAAGTATTTCTATACTTTCCCAAGTATTGACCTTGTTTATTAAAGTAACATACATTTATAATATATTCATTAAATGTGCCAGATTAAGGCTATTATTTTTTACTTACTATTCTGTATTTAACTTCTGCTAATCATAAGTGAAAGAAGCATCAAGTACAAATAACTTTTGTTTAAAGAATTGGTTTGTTCTGAATTAACTTGTTTTTTTAGACTAGCCATAAGAGCTTAAAAAAAACGATTTGTTATCACAAAATTTGGTAAGTTCTTTATCAGGTCACATAGACCTCATTTGGTCATTTCACTTCCAAGGGATATTTTAGGATAGCAAAATTCTCTGGCAATGTTCAAAACTCTATTTATAGCCTTTTTTTTTGGTCTTCCTCTAATTTGTATTATTACTAATTCGATACATATGGCACCTTTTGAGTATGGGTTCTACATAAATTTGTAGCTGATTTATCCAAGAAGTTTAACTACTGACACACACACACATCTTATTCTATGCAGTATCCAAGGAATGAACTTTTAGAAAAATCTTGTCAAAATAAGAAATGTAGTTTTTAAGAAATTTTAATTGAAGTACTTCTTTAGGAATTAACACTTGTATATTTTTGATTCTATCAGACAAAATAATCAAGTTTTATTAGCAGATTTGCTAGAGGAGAACACCTGCTGCAACAGTGGTATTTCTCTCGCCACAATATATTATATGCTAGATTTTTTAATTTTGAGGCTTGACAGTGAATCTGAATCATTGAAAAAAAATAGAACTAGGTCTTTGTCACAGTACAGCAATGCAGATTCGAATCCCCTGTCACACCAAACATGCTCGCCCTTTCAGCTGTGGGGGCATTATAATGTGATGGTCAATCCCACTTTTTGTTGGTAAAAGAGTAGCCCAAGAGTTGATGGTGGGTGGTGATGACCAGCTGCCTTCCCTCTAGTCTTACACTGCTAAATTAGGATGGCTAGCGCAGATAGCCATTGTGTAGCTTTGCACAAAATTCAAACAAAACAAACAGTACACCAAAGTAATTTTGTGAAAGCTGTTCCATCTTTCAGTGTATATCTGTTGTTTATTTAATTATATTTTTAATTTTATCTGTACATTTTATTTTATTGTAAATTATAACATTAAATTATCTGTAAGCAAGTAGACAACTTTTTGTCAGTTCTCTCCAAAGAAGTAGGAACAAAATTTAACTTTTTCTAGTTTCTTTTATAAAATGTGTGAAATATGTCATTTTGTATACAATTGTTGAAAAAAAGTGTTGACTGAGTAACATGTATACTGCAAGCTTTGAAAAATATTTTTGAATCTGTTTGCTTGAGACAAGTGAAATTCGGGAAGTACTTGTCCCGTTCCTAATTTTGCTTGTTCCACTGAAGTCAACAGATAGGAAGTGATTTTACAAAATAGCTTAGTGTACAATTTTATGATTAAACAGTATATTACTTGTAACGTTTAAATGAAAAAACCAACGAAATTGTAAAATCCATTCATCCCCAAACAGGTTTCTTTTCATGGGCAGGTGGCTAGGCAATTTTTCACACCCTGTACTGCATATGAGATGTAACTCTTAACACTTCACATGTATTTTTGTACTGTCTATTGAATTACCATTGATATTATTTTGATTGTAATGTACAAAGCTTGGAATAAATTTTTTGGCCACTGGCAAGTATTTTATACTTGCATTAAAAGCTACACTAAAAGTGCTAAAGAAAAGCTCAGTTCAAGAGTTTTACACCTTTAGCAGAAATAACTAGTCAGCTGACATCTCATTTTCAATTTCATACTTTTTAATATACTATTAAATTTGAGATATATTATATTTGTGATAGTAATGAAAATCGCTAGTATGACATGGGGTAGAAAAATATCAAAATAAAACTGAAACACTGCCTAAACTTACTTTTTTTTAACTTTTAGAGTCTTACTGAAAGATACTTGAGAATGATGCACAACAAGCTACCATGAAAGGCTTAATGACTGGTTATTTAAATATTTTACTTGCAGCTAGTTTTGTTAAATAATTTTGACCATTATTTATTTACAACTAGTCTGAATATTTACAAAATGTACAGAACAACTGGAAATTAATGCTTTTGTTTCTTAATGGTCATTTGCTAACCATTAGACCCACTGGCTTGTTGCCAGTTAGCAGCTATTAACTTTGAGCCCTATTGTATATTGTGTAATATGTTATTGCAACTAATGCTTAGTAGTTACTGATATTTCATAAATGCTTCATTTAGAAAGTGTTTCCAGCTATATAAACCTATCAATTATTTATTTAAAGATTTGGAATATGTACAAGCCAATATGCATCGAAATATGAATGTGTTAGTTTTCATGTCCAATATTTTTTTCTTTTAAGGTGTACTTTTTATATAAAGATGATTATGCAAAATAAAAATAATTATATTGATAATATGTACACATAAAATTTTCATAGTATTGTATCTCAGTAAGTCCTAGAAATGATGTACATTTCATTTTATAGTGTAAATTATGCAATTTCTTTCTTTTCAATAAATTAGTAACTCATAAACTAATATAATTTTTTTTCTCTGTGTGTGTATAAACAGCTATGTATAGAATTAATCCATATACAAAATATCACTAAAGTCAAGTGATTAGGCATAAAAATATAAGCAAATATATCATTGTAAAAAGTAAAATGTTCTTATTTTTTGTGCACAATCATTCTCTCTTCAATGTATGTAATTTGTTTTCATTGTGAAATGATAATTTAGTTATTTGGACAAACTGAAAAAAATTAAATGAGAACAGTCTTAAGTTGAAAGAATAACTTTCTAGTTTTATTATGAAATGTTTTTGTTCTTTTTAGCTTTATTGAATGAGGCTCTGTATAGTATTAACTTTATATCATTACACTCTTTCTATAATAACTTAAATTTCCAGGATATTATACTAGAGAAGCTACAGAAGAAGGCTACCATTAAATTTAGAAATCCTCTTCATGCACTCCAGTTTCAGAAAAAATACCAAAGGTAGAGGTTTTTTTTATTATTATTATGAAATGATGAACATAAAGTTATGTATAGAAAATATAATAATATATTCACAGATTCTATTTTGCTGTAGTAATTGCTCTTGATATTTTTGGTAAAGGGGAGCAAGATATATGGAATAAGGTGTGCAGTGTCTATTTTAACTCTGGAGATGGTTTTATGCTTTGAAGTACCTGCTGCTGTTTTTTTTATACCTTGCTATTTTGTTCACGTTATTAATATTCTTATTTATTTATTCTTCAGTCATTATATAACATGTAATCTAGTTACAATTATACGAGTACGGGTTGTTTAAAAAATGTATTCTGTTATTTATTCCTCGTATTTTTATAAATTGAAAAAGCCACCTATTAGCTAGCATAGCTGTTTCTTTAGACAAAACTCAATGTATGTAAGGCTCTCTCATGATAACTCATGTAGTATCTTGTATTTCAAATCAACTTGAACCTGACTGATGTAAGTTCCTTTATGGTTATTCATAATGTTGCTGAAAACTATTTTTTATTTTAAAAAAAGGCTCTATATTCAAAAGTTTTAGGGGGTAACATTCAATCCAACTGATCTTCTAACAGATTTCACATTTGCTTTCTAAGCTCTTGGTGTCTGAAGTGCATTGTACTCTTGAGTTTGATTGATGTTTGAAAGTGTCCATCTTGGTACAAGATTAAATGTAGTTGGCTATTATGAGACTGTCCTTTAAGATCAAAAGATGCTTTTATTTGAAGAAGGTGAAGAGCAGTAGCTTCTTAAGAAATGCCTTCAATCTCTCTAACAGTTCAAGGTTGTTTCATCACCTTATGAACTTATTGTCCATTTTGGATTTGTTCTTGTAACATTTTTAATGCTAAAAAATACGGTTAAGCTGGTTAGCTGTCAATTTCATTTTTTAAATACTGTGTGTGCACCTAAAATATTATTTTCTTTTTCTGTTTTAGACATATGCTTGACCTATCTTTGATACATGTATCTGTACTTCCACCGTGACAAGGTAGAGCAACCAATTTCCTAGGAAGGTAGGAATAGTTTTCTAGGATAGAACAGAATGAAATACCTAAGATGAAGAAGAAGAGGAAGTTAAAGCCTAATTTTGTCTCCTAGTTTCTCAACATCCTCTTACATTTGTCTCAGTTAGTTACACTAGCATTATTTGTACCTGTTATCTGATTACTTTTGTTTTTTGACTTGGCATGTGTGTAACTAACTGATTTATTGTGAGTACATGGATGCCATGTACAGGTTGTTTAAACCATTGTTAAGTTACTCTGTAAAGATTTGAGTAACAAAAGCAAATGTTCAATTTTGTGAATTTTCAAAGGCATTCAAACTAGAAAAGAAGTATTCAATCTTGACTGGTTGATTGTCAGATCACATTTCACTGTTGAATGACGTTGGAAACCAAGAACTGAGGTATTTTAATGGAAATCAGGAGAAAGTTTGTGCTGGGGAAGGATTGATTATTAATCATTTAAAATGATAAATATGTCAGACAAGAATCCTTTTATGTGTTTAAACTTACTGTAATTTGTTTTCTGTATATTTCCAGTGAATTCTGTATTTCTCTTCAAATAAGAAGAAGAAAATGTTAAACTGATTTATTTTTTAGTTTCTATGAAACATCTAACATCATCATACAAAGAATTTTGCTTTATACAGTATATTTCAAACACTATATATTAACACACCAACTCATTACACTTAGCAGAATGTACAAAGCACTGAATGCTCTTATTAGTTATTAAATGGTATTTATATATATGTAGGGCTTAAGGATGTAACGTCTTCACATATAATCTTGGCAAAATATGTTGAGCAACTAAAGTGGCAACAGTAGATTTCACGTTATTCAAAAAAAGTCCTAAAAGTTAAGCAGGTTAGAGAATTTGACAAATAATATTTATTTTAATTTATTTAAAAAAGTTTTTTTCCCTAACATCTAATATAATTTTTATTGATGTTTCTCTCTCGACATTTTCATAATGTTATATCCAATGGGATAACATTAAAATATATGAAGATTGATTTGTTTTTTATAGTCACGATGTGGTATCAAATCCAGAAATAACTGAAAACTCTTTATAATGGAGTTTTTTTTTCCCCATGAGTATTAAAATGTATTAGTTATATTTTTGACAAAAAATGTGGAAAATCCACAAATTCACAGATTTTCTTTGGGGGACATGATCAAGGCTCTTTGTCTCTTAATCTCTTTAAATTAGCACAGCATACTTTGTTACACATAGTCACAATATGAGATGTATTTGAAAGTCTGTACAATCAATGGCATATCAAGATTACCCAAATCAGTTGGTCAAATGAGCTAGCTGTGGCCTTATGGTTAATGTGCTTGACAGCAAATCTGAGGGTTTATTTTTACATGCTGTTACCAAAAAATCATTTTCAGTACTATGGGATTGTGGGTGTACTATTCGAGAAGGTCAAATTCCAATGTTCAATTAGTTTAGCCCAAGAATTGATGGTGGGTGATGTTGACTTGCTGCCTTCCCTTTAGTATATCAGTTAAAGATAGAGATTACTAGTGCAGATAGCTTTTTTGTAACTTTGCATTATATCCAAAGCAAACAAAAACAATATGCTGTCAGTTATTTTCTATACTAATACATGAAGTTAAACATTTTAAATTCAATATTAACTGCTAAGGCCCTTTCTCAGTGGCTCAATAGTAAGTCTGAAGGCTTATAGCTCTAAAAACTGGGATTTGATACCTGTGATGAGCACAACACAGATAGCCATTGTGTAGCTCTGTGCTTAATAACAAACAAAAGCTACCTCTTTAATTTTTATTTTGTTGTCATCTAAATCTCTGTGTAAAATACAAACTATCTGTTGAAAATCTGTGTCATTTGTTTCTGCAGTATTCAAATATATATATGATGGATGGTGATTATGCTCTCTCATGTGAGTTTCTGATGGTTTTACTTACAAAGCACTCAGAACTTTCACTACAGCTGTATATGTAAGTTACCCCCACAAATAAAACAGTGTTATGCATGGGTTGTAGATACAATGTTAGAAAGAAATCTACCAGTTTGTGATGGATAATTTACTTTATAATTAACATTGTATTTTTTGAAGACAGAATTCTGAATTCTTGTGATTGAATTGTTTAACCCATGTACATGGAACAGAAGGTAACATCATTATTGGAATATATCAGTTGTCCATAAGATTTTAACTTTGTTGGGTAAAACCTAATTCATTTTTCTCAATCTTGGATAAGAAGTTAGATGTACTGGTGAATATCTTTTGGGCATCTAGATGTATTGCTACTGGTACCTGTTAAACAAGGAACATCATAGTTCACTGTAATTGTTGTAGGATCAAGAAATTTTAAATTTTTGTACAAATTCCTTAGAATTTCATCTAAAAGAGATCACATGTACTTATGGAGTAATAACCTTGCTAGAAATTTGCTCAGGCAATAATTGTATGACATGGAAGTAGAAATTATGTTTTTTTTAGTGCGCAGTCTATTTTGTGAATTTTGGGAGAACCATATGCTTGAGAGGTTCTGGGATCAGTAGTTTTCAAAAGGAGATATATAGACTGCAGTTAATGTCTTTAGTTTTTTTCTATTGAAGTAAGAACTTATTTAGTTTGGTTTCTCTAGAATTAGTTGGGTTATCTTGCAGGAGGCCTGGTGGTTAGGGAGCTTGACTTGCAATCTGAGGGTCATAGTTTCAAATCTCCATCATTGAATACGCTTGCCCTTTCATCCATGGGGGTGTTATAATGTGATGGTCAATCCCACTATTTGTTGGTAAAAGAGTAGCCCGTAAGTTGACGGTGAGTGGTGTTGACTAGCTGCCCTCCCTCTTGTCTGTCACTGCTAAGTTAGGTATGGCTAGCACAGTTAACCCTCGAGTAGCTTTGCACAAAATTAAAAACAAAACAAAACATTCTTGCAGGTGTTTTAAAATGATAGTATTATTCAGCAATTCTTCCATTTTTCTGATGGAAGGAACAGTCATCTAAAATAATCTTGTTATCCTGGTCTGCTTTGAGATTGATAATCTTGTTATTACCTCTTAAATTTTGAATGGCCGTAATCTCATAAATTAGGTTTAACCTTTCATGGTTTTCCTAATAGAATATTTATTTCACATTTAAACTCTTCAAAAATATTAATGAAAGGACTATGTTTACGGATTCCATGGAACCAAATATATCATATTTTAGGGGATAGTATTATACTTAGAGTGGAAGATGTGATCTGATTTTTCTGCTTCTTGGATTATTGGTTTCTTATTAGAAGATGCATCATATTTTTCAAGCTTGCCATTGATAACTAGTTTCCTAGCAAGGTTCATTAGTTGTGCTTAAATGACAGAAACCAGAGGTTGTATGGGGAGAATACTGAAGTTTAAACCTCTATTCAACAATTTCCCTTCAGCACTAGGTAGTTCATATGTGGAAAATGTGTAGATGTTTTCCACAGTAGGCTTATGTGTGTTCTTAATAGTTAAACTAGCCTGTTCATTAGAGGTCAGTCTACGATTGAATTATTGGCAAAGGTACTTATTCTCAGACTTATTCGTTGAGAAGCTTTTGTAGCATATTCATTTTGATTATCTTTACATTGTTAGATGAAACATTTTCTTTGCATTTTAAAAAGTGTAGAACTAGGTTTTTTTCTTTCTGTATATACACACATACACACACAATAAATGCATATCTGGTGTGGGTAATATGAGAAACCGCTATAATAATAAAATTAAATGAGTTAATATTTTTACTTCAGTATGTGGTATTACGAGAGAGAGAGAAAGAGCTAGTTGAGTGTGTGACATTTCACTTCTGGTTTTGTAGAGCTGGTTGAATTTGGCAACTGTTCCTATAGGAGAAAAAAGCTTTTATAATAATTTCTTTTATAAATATGTATACAAACTATAAAATTACTTTGTCTTGTTTAAAGACAGCAAGAAATAATGTCTTATTTTACATACGAAAAGTATTTTTAGCATCTTTTTCAAAGAACAAATTGTTCTATTCATTAAGGTGAAAGCTGATTTAGCCACAAATATTAAATGAACAAAAATTACCACATATTTTATCCATTATTTATTATTTGTTTCTTTAGAAAAGTAATATAATGTCCTTACATTTTAATTAATAAAAAAAAAACAGTACTTTATGTTACTTGTTACATTTCTTTTTCCTGTCTTACCTTGCAAAACAGCTGTTGTGACTTTTCCTTTTTGAACCACGTGTTATGAAATGAATTTATTCCATGTATATTATCAGTTTTATCAAAGTTTTTTAGTAAAACAATTCAGTCATTTATTGGATATTGTAAATGATAAACTGTAATCATTATAGTACACTAGCCTTGCCCAACCTGTCAAAATATGATGGGTTAGAATTTTGTAAAAATCCCTTGGTGTGCCCCCTGCCCTTCCTTCAGTGAATTTTGTCCCTTTGTTATAAAAGAAAAACGATCACACATTGAGAAAATAATAATTTTCAAATACACTTTCAAAAAATTCAGTAAGAATAGTTCAAACTTAAACTAAAAATGGGTCATAATATAAGCATGACATACACACACAAAATGACAACTGGCTTTTATATATATATTAGGTTTATTAAAAATTATGTTATTTTAAGATAGGTCTTCAGCCAAAGGGTATGCATGTAGCCAGAGTTATCCAGAGTATTAATAAACAGTTCTAGGCAGTAAGAGTCCAAGGCCTCACTAACATAATTATCATCATCATCATCATGGTAGATCTTTTGGGTTAAAACCAGGGGTGGTCAGGAAATCTTTCTTCCTCTTTGCCCCATTCTTGGTTTGATTTATTTATAATTTTGGGTATTTTTGTTTGGACCAGGGCAGATGTTAGTTTCATGGTTTGGGCATACGTCCTGGTTGTTCCTTGAGTGCTCATCATGGTGGTACTGGCATGGTTGCTTGGTGGCTGTGCTGAGTTGTTATGAAGTGAAGGGAAGCCCTGAATAAGAGGCTGGCATCTTTCCTGTTGTACTGATTTGATTAGGGT